AGTCCTGGCTAGAGTCAGGATTTAAGAAACACTTGAAAGTGTGGAGGGCTTCAACTAAGGGGAGCTAGGCTCCTGCAGGGCAGTTGAGTGGCAGTGGCCTCCTCTGGCCTAGGTCCCTGTGAGTACCAAAAGCAACAGCAAATGTGCAGCATTGCCTGCAGGTGTATGATGGCAGAGGTTGTCCTGCAGCTTGACTGGAAGGCAGTGGGGACCACTGCTGCCCAGTGAGGCCAGGGAATCAGTACTGGGCAGCTTGTACAAGGCTGTATGATGCAGGGAACAGGACCTGGCTTTGAATTCTGGTTCTGCCTCTTACCAGCTGTGGGACCTCTCCAAGCTTCCTCTTGTTCCCCCACCAAACACAGGACATCACCCTCATCTCCCTCTCTTTATTCTGAAAATATTTATTGTGCCCCTACTATGTGCCAGGCACCATTCTAGGTGTTAGACATACAGCAGGGAAAATGACAGGTAAGGTCCCAGTCCTCGGGGAGCTTATGGTCTAATGATGGACTAGAAACAGATAATAAACATGTAAACAAATACTTTCAGTGATAACTATTGTTAAGAATAAAGCAGTTGCATGGGACAGAGAGGGTTTAGGAGCAGGGACAGGTGGGAAGGCTCCTTGGGAGGTGACATTTGAGCTGAAACCGAATGAGTAGACGATGCTGAGAAGATGGCATTCTGGGGGGAGGTCATTTCAGGTGCTAGGACAGCATGTGCAAAGGCCCATGGCTGAAACACGTTGGGTGCATTAAGGACGCAAAAGGAGGCCAATGTATGTGCAGCAGAGAAGAGGGGCGGGGAGGGCAGCAGGAAGTCAGAGGGGTGGGCAAGGGCCAGATCCTGGAGGCTTTTTGGTGGAATTTGGAGCTCATTCCAATTATAATGGAAATTCCTAAAGAGTTGTTTTTTTTAATGTAATTTTTTCAGCCATTCCTGATTATTGGACATTTAGTTTTTTTTCCTGTGTTTTTTTTTTCCTTCTTTTCTTCACAAAATAATTAACACGTCAATGAACATCTTTGTAAACAAAACCACACATCTCCTTGGCCACTTCCATGGGGTGCACTGCTGACTCAGGCTTACTGGTTAGAGAGGACACCATTTCATTTTGGACAGATGTAAAAGGAGTTGTTTTTTTTTAATGTAATTTTTTCAGCCATTCCTGATTATTGGACATTTAGTTTTTTTTCCTGTGTTTTTTTTCCCCCTCTTTTCTTCACAAAATAATTAACACGTCAATGAACATCTTTGTAAACAAAACCACACATCTCCTTGGCCACTTCCATGGGGTGCACTGCTGACTCAGGCTTACTGGTTAGAGAGGACACCATTTCATTTTGGACAGATGTAAAAGCTGCCTGTTTTTAACGGTCCCCTGTACACACAACTTAACGACCATCGCTTTCCACACTGTCCCGTATTGCTTTGAGCTTCGTGGTGAGCGGCGCTCCCCCCAGCACAGCGGCCTTCCCCGCTCAGGTGCTCACTGAAATCACGCCGTACACTTTCTTAAGACGCCAATGCCAGCCGCTACCACACGCCAATTAAAATGGAGTCTCCGAGAGTGAGGCCAGGGCATTAGCACTTAAAAAACGCTCTTCCTGTGATTCTAATTTGCTCCCGGGACCCAGAGCCACGCTTGAATTAATCAGACAGGTGGAGTCTAGGTTCTTCCATCTGAACGCTTGGGCCGAACCTCTCTCTTAACCCTTTTCTTTTTTAAATTTTTGATTATGGAAATTTCCAAATACATGCAGAAGGAGAGAGAACAGGATAATGAGCCCCCATGTAACCATCACCCAGCTCCCATAATTACCCTGCAGGGCTTTATGCAGGGGAACGGCCTGGTTTGAATCAAGTTTTAAACAGGGTGCTGGCTGTGGATGGAGAGTGGGTGGCAGGGAGGAAGTGTGGAGGCAGGAAGGCCAGGCCGGAGGCTGTGGCGTGGTCCGGCTGGAGATGATGGGGCTTGGCCTGGCATGAACAACCGTGACGGGAGGTTTGCTCAGATCGGAGCAGAGGTGGGCCTGGCGGGCTTCCCACTGGAAGGGATGCAGGTGGGCTCTGATGAGGATGGGGTCAGACACTACCTTGGGCCTGGCGCGCAGGAGGTGTGACCCCCAGCATCAGGCCCTCCTTTTCTCCCTCCCTTTCCGGTGCAGGGGCCAGGGCTTGGGGCTCACCTGCTCTCGCTCTGCTGTTTTGCGGAGCTTGTACACAAACTCGCCCACGGCCACCAGCACTGACAGAACCAGCCCGGCGGCCAGGACGATGAAGATGCCCCCGATCTTCTGGATCCCCAGGGCGCTGGCCTCTTTGTTCTCCTCCTCGGGACACCCGCTGCCCCGCCACCACTTCTCCTTCATGATGTGCAGCTTGTCCTCCTCCTGCAGCTGCAGGATGGCGATGGTGATCTTGTCCCGGTACGGGGAGCCTGACGTAGGAAGCGGAAACATCACTAGCTGCCATCATTAGACCTCTTGGTCAGCTCATCAAAGGGGCACCCAATTGCCGGAGTCTCTCCTACATGGCATCTGGTGGGAGGAAGGGTCCTCACCTGGGGCAGGGAGTCTTGCTTATGAATCTCTGTGTCTGGGCTGCCTCAACAGGGGTGAGGCCGGGAAGAGAAGGCATGACCTCTGAGCTGCCCCCACCTCTGTGTTGGCCCCAGTGCTCTGCTTAGGCCGGGGCTGACCTCACAAGGTACATGGCTCCACCCCTGCATCTCTGCGTTGAGGAAATGCCACCTTGCTAGGCTCAGCGGGAGGAGCTGGGAGTGGGAGCAGGAGACTGTGTGTGGGAGTGGATGTGAGGGCCTCGCCCAGTCCCGCCCCCTCCTCGCCCCCACATGCAGCCCCTCGCTCACCCATGGGCGTGCCGATGCCGTAGCCCTTGGAGTCGATGAGGCCCCCAATCTGGGTGAGGTTGCAGTTCCTCTGGGTGACATACTCGATGGTGGTGGACTCCATGAGCAGCGCGTAGTCGGCGGTCAGCGTCCTCTGGATGCCCTCCTCGTTGTTCTTCACCAGCGCCGAGGGCTTGCTGCTCATGAAGGCCCACATCTTCTCGAAGGTGGAGATCTTGGATTTCTGGGCCGCAGGGGAGGGGTGATGCACACAGTTACTGAGCACCCTGGGGACCTTGCCTAGCAGGGCTTAGGACATGGGCCTCTGTCTACAGTCCTCAGCGTGAGGGAGTGCCACCCATTGCTCAGATGTGGACACCGAGGCCCTGGGAGGGCACTTCCCAAACACACAGCCTGGAAGTGATAAAGCCAAGAACTAGATGTAGGCCCCCCGTCTGGAAACCCTTGGCTCTTGACCATGGCACAAGTGATTTTCACACTGACTTTTAAAAAATGAATGTTCTCTCTCTAATATTTACTGAATGATTATATGTGCAGGCCCTGTTCTAAGGGCTTCACTGCATTTATTCATTGAGTCTTCACAGCAATCATAGGAGGCAGGTCCGTTAGCCCCATTTTACAGGTGGGGAAACTGAGGCATGACTAAGTAACTTTCCTAAGGTCACTCAGATACTAAGTGGCGAAGCCAGGCCTGAAACCCAGACCCGCTGACTCCAGGGTCCATGCTCCTAACCACTGACTTGCATGGCCTCACAGAAACTACTGTGAGGGCAGAGAGGGAGGGGTGGATGCCGATGAGGGCAAAGCTCGGTAGGTTTTGCCCCCACCCCCCACTTCAGCCACAGCGGCCTCTTGTGTACTGTGTCTCAGGGGAAGATCTTGTCCAAGGTGAGGGTTTCTGTTTGTTCCACTTCATTACAGTGAGAGAGAAGCAGGGTGAGAACTGCAGAGTGGGGAGCGGAGCGGGAGCCCTCTGAGCAGGTGTCTGCAGGCTCCCTATTCCCTTGTCCCCAGAGCGTCTTGGGCTAGATGCTGCTGCATGGATAGAACCAGCATTCCTAGGACCAGGCCTGGTGGGCAGGCTGCTGTGCTTGTGCTGCCTGGCTGGGGAGAGTCAGAGGGCACTGGGGCCAGGAGAGGGGGCTGACACCGCATGCCCCTGCTGCTAAGGAGACTGGGCAGACCGGGTGCACGAACTTCATGAGATTTCTTGGGAATGTAGGGCCTGCCAGCTGCCTGCTCTGAGCAGGGATCGGCCCTGCCCCCGCTGATCCCAGGGGAGCAGGTGGCTCTGCGGGCCCCATTGTACCCAGCAGTTTCCAAGTCTGGCTGCGCCTGTCTGTGATGTCAGCCCGTCTGACTGGCACCCGGCCCAGCTCCGCTGTGCATGATGGCATGGGTATGCTCAAACAGGCTGGCGTGGGGCTGGGGATGGGCAGGAGACGGCAAAGAAACTTCCAGGAGTCGGGCAGTGGGGGTGGAAAGAGGTGGGGTGCTCCCTAGCTCCATAAGGACTGTCCCCTCTGACAGTGGCTCCTGGAGACGCAGGCATGCCAGGGGAGGAGAGGCCTCCGAAGCAGCAGGTGGGAAACCGCTTGGAATTCTACCTGAGCCCAGATTCTGTCAAGTACCAGTGATCGCTCCTGGGCACAGGGTCTGGGGGCATCTTCACAGACAAGTAGCCCCTCCTCACCTGCAAGTTTATCTGCCCCCAAAGCCAAAGGCCTGGAAGGGCTCAGATGCCTGGAGCTTAAATGTTCCACCAGAGCTGCAAGCTGATTGCTCCCAGCTCCTCCCGGGCCTCAGCCTGTTCTATTTTCAGCTCTTCCTGCTCTCAGCTACTCCACCTCCATAGTTACTCTCTTGCTTCTGCAACTCTTGCCTCCAGACCTTCTGTGCTCTCCAGCTAATCCATCCGCCCAGCTATTCCTCCACCTCAGCTTCTCCTGCAGCCCCAATGCCTGCCCCCCCCCAGCTACTATTATTATCCTTAAACACATTTCCAATTTCCAGCTCTTCTGATTCCCTAGACATTTCTTATTTCAGCTAATCCTCCGCCCAGCTATTCCTCCACCTCAGCTTCTCCTGCAGCCCCAATGCCTGCCCCCCCCCCAGCTACTATTATTATCCTTAAACACATTTCCAATTTCCAGCTCTTCTGATTCCCTAGACATTTCTTATTTTCTAGATAATTTCTAATATTCAGAATCTTCCACCCCCCCGCCCCCCAGCTTCTTTTATCCCTCAGGTCCTTTCCACTGTGCTGCTTTTCCTGCTCAGATTCTCTGTGGCAGGAAGTTTCTAAACGGGTCCAGTGATCTCCATTGAGGGACTCATGTCCTTGTATAATCCCCTACCCCTACACGGGGGCTGGATGCACAGGCTTACTTTGAACGCGCCCCCCCACCCCCACCCCATAGCTATGGGATGCTGCTCAGAAATTAGGTTAGTGAGACTGAACTATCATCTTGCTTGCTGCCCTGATGGAAGCTGTTGCCATGCTGTGAGTCGCCCCATGGAGAGGCCCACATGGCAGGAACGAAGGACAGCCTCCAGTTAATGGTCAGTGGAGAACAGCCAAGGAGGAACTGAATCCTGCCAACAGCCGCATGGGGGAGCTTGGAAGTGGAGCAGTGTTAGCCAACACCTTAAATGTAGCTCATGAGACAACCAATCAAGAGGACCCAATCAAGCTGTGCTGAACCCTGACCCACAGACTGTGAGATCATATATGTTGTTCTAAGACACTAACTTTTGGGTCATTTGTTACACAGCTATAGATAACTGATACACTCTCTTACACATATACTAACACAAACTATTTCTGTTCCCAATGGTTGTTTTTTCAGATAATCAATTCTAACTATTCCTTTAATCATCCCATCTAAGTCCTATCATCCCAGCTTCCAGGTACACATACTCCTCAGATACTCTACCCACTTGGTTATGGTAACTAAGCACTATTCTCCCTTCAGTGACTCCAGCACCTCAGCTCCTTTTCCATCCAGGTCCCTCCTGCTTTCCGAATTCTCCTTCTTCTACCAGAGCTGGGCACCAGGGCTCCTTTACACTTCAGTGCATGCCTGCAATCCATCCATCCACCCATCCATCCACCCATCCATCCATCCTCCATCCATCCATCCATCATCCATCCATCCATCCATCCA